CATATTACCTGAAGCATACTTGACCTGTTGACTGCCGCAGTTGACGATGCTGCCTCCAGGCTTCATATTCTTCATCTCGTACTTGATACTGTTAAAGGTGCCGATGACATTCACATCGAGAACCTCCTTCAACTCCTCAAGTTCAAGGTCTTCAATGGGGTGAATACTTTTGTTCATCTTGGCTATCGAATGTGTAAGCATGTGTCCCTCGCGAGATATCAGGAACCATTGTCTCACCTGCAACATTTGCAGCACCGTCCAACTCTCCCCACTTGGCAACGGTCCCTTCAATCCAAGCTTTAACATCATCAGGGTTCCTGACGTCTGTGGGAAAATAGATGACCCGATCCTTCACGTCAGGGATATCCTGCTCAATACCAGCAACGGCTTTCTTCAGATTCTCCTCCGAAGTAGCAGCCATGGAAACCTTGGCTCCACGTACCAAAAGGTAACGAGAGAGGGCCAGGCCTGTCCCGCGACTAGCACCAGAGACAACAATGACCTTGTCTTGGAAAGGGTATGGGTTTGCCATTTTTAGAGTCGAAAAAAGAAAAAGTAATATTAAAAATGCAACCTGTAAGAGAATGGGGTATCGGCTGCCGCTGTTGACTGGGTAGATTATATAGGGGACGCCAGACACTTCAAGCAAGCCAAGCTTCGAGTGGTCCTGGAGGGTATTGAGTGATGCACAACGACTAGGGACAAAAGAAGCTGCTAATACCTTGGTATGGAGCATTCAAAATGGAGCATCTTGAGTCGCGAGGGATAATCTACAGGGAAGATACTGAGTCTCTGCGTTATCTCTTTCCCTGAGGGCATAACCCGCCCGATAGGACGGAAGCGATCATCAGATAGTGTTGCATCGTCTAATGATCACGCAGCAAAACTGTTTCAAGAAGGGGGGCTGCCTTGGCATTGGGTCTTGATCCCTACGACAGAACCGGTTGAGTTACATTCTGTAGGCGAGAAATCTGGGCATTGCGGGGAAAGACCCGAAGGATTGAATAAGTCATCCATCTTGACAAATCCGACTTGTGCATGACGTGGGTCTACAAGAGGGGAAACAAACCTCTTAACCTCTCGTTTCTTTTTCCTCTTGACTTTGTTCAAAAGTGTCAAACGAAACCAGTACGAGAAATTTAGAACCATTCGCGTCAACGGGAGATAACGATCTGCCTCACCCCCGACGGTCCGGTCCGTGATTCTCATTTCTAGTGCAGCTTCTGAGGAGTTTAGCAACGGAGCGAAAGTGAGATTTGTGGGCTTACGTGGATCTCCTGACAAGGATCAGATCCTAATTCCAGGACGTGGAGACTGCTGTTTTCTCTTTTCACATGATTTTCTAGGAAATGAAGGGATAAGGAGAGGTCTTTCCGGGCGAATGAGGAAAGAGAATGAAGGTCAGATCATTAACGTTAGACGGTGAAGGCGACAAAAGAAAGTAAAAGTGACATATCGTCAAACACAGTGGAACTGCAGAAGCTGAAAATCTGATACGAGACGTCGCTGATAAGGAGTAGACGAGAGCGAAAAATCCCAACGGAGGTTGGAATTTGTTGCAATATGCTGCGGTGCTGTGTTGGATGGATATTGCTGAGTATGATGCCACAGTCCCCTTTACAGATCAAGATGTTCTGTCCCAGCCCAGTGGCCTGGATACGCAAGGGAATTCAGCCCTGTTGTCCCTGAGGCAAGCCCCATATATAATACCGGATAACAAGCACACTGCAGAAGTGATCTGCAACCGTTGGATGATGTTTACGAAAATCATGGGTCAGCATTGTCTCAACACTGGTCAAAGACCTTGGCTCGTTGCCGGGAACGCATCATCATTTACGGCTCATTGCCCGAAATCCAACCAATCCAGAAGCCTATCATACATGCTCGAATAGAGATTCGTAGGTCATGCATTTGTTGTCTTTGTGGATCTCGCATCAGACAAAGCAAAACCACTNNTCCCCTGAAGACCGTTGCAATTAGCCCACTTAAGTTTGTGCATCAAGCGAATCGCACCGCTAGACATGGAGAATTCAACGCAGAAAAAAGGAATAATATGTTGGCCGAACGTTTCTCGGGGCAAAAGTGCCAAAGCTTAAGCCCAGAGGATCTTACCTCAGTCTTCGCTGGGCTTGAACCGTAGGTCGTGGTGGCAAGTGAGGCGCCCAAGGCTTGAATAAGTTCTCAGGTTTGGCATAAAATCCTTTACCAGGCCCCCAGTACTGACTTCGGTCTTTGCCTCGGGTTCGTAACGGGAAGATCATCCTTGATGAACAGCGGTGGAGCCGTTGCAGACGAAAAAGAAAGCTCCTGACAACGTCCGCCGTTGAAACAGAATAAGGAATAAGCTTGCAGATCTCACGATCCCTCATTAGATTAACCTTGAAGCACCTCCCAGCTGAAGACTTTTAACTTAAAGCTGAATTCATTGTCTTGCTCAACTCGACTTCTCACTCCACGATCAACCGACACTGTCGCGGCCGAGTCGCAAATCGCCATGGCTGAGGAGGTGTACATGATGGAGCCGCCCAAGGGGCAGGACAGATGGGAAACTGGAGGCGCTGCGACTATACAGGTCATTCTGGGTGCTTGTCTTTTCACACTCGGCACGGTTGTTTATGGACTCCGGATCTTGACCAGAGTGCGGCTACTCAAGAACCCTCTTCGCCTTGACGACTGTACGTTTCTACTTTCTGATCTGGGTTTCGATGGAGCTAACATCATACTCAGTCCTCACTGGCGCTTCGCTTATAGCCTGCTGGGTCTTTTATGCATGCACCATGGGCAGTAAGTCGTCCCATTGCTATCAATACATCCATACTAACAAAGACAGTGGTTGCCCAAGGAGGCTGTGCTACCAACTTCTGGCAGGTTACTCAATCGCAATACGAATCATTACTCAAAGTACGTCTCTGAATTCACCTCTTCATCTTCAAGATGGCTGACGTCTTGCAGTGGACCATCCCCGTCAACATCTTCTACATGCTGTCCTCCGATCTCGCCAAAATCTCTCTTCTCTTCTTCTACCTCCGCCTTTCACCCGAACGAACCTTTCGCATTGCCATCTATGTCCTGATCAGCCTATTCGGTCTTTATGCCCTCATCTATGCTATGATCAGTCTCTTTGGCTGTCAACCCATAAAGGCCTCGTGGGACCTTGCCGCTCAAGCAACGGGCAAATGTGTGGACAAGTTCGGCTTCTTCTTGGCTGCGTCGGTTGCCAACGTAGTCATGGATCTGGTCATTCTGCTGCTGCCTTTGCGGATCGTTATCCCGCTACAAATTCCTCGTCGGCAGAAGATGTCACTTCTGTTTCTGTTCACTACTGGTGGCTTGTGAGTACCCCTTCCTAACTCACTTGATTAACGTACTGACGTCTCCAGTGTCATCATCGTTGCCATCTACAATTGTGTTCTCACTGTCAAGCTATTCAGCAGCCCTAACTACACCTGGGGTCTCGCATATGAACTTTGCTGGATGTACGCTGAGCTGACTGGCTGTGTCATATGCGCATCTGCCAGCTCTCTCAAGCCCTTCTTCAAGCGAATCCTACCGAACATCTTTAGCAGTCACGGCGCTAGCTACGGTGGGCCCTCTGGAGCGACAGGCGGATCCAATGCCACCAGGAGCCGAAGGCAGTTGAGCCGGAAGCAAGCTGATGCCATCGAACTTCAATCTGGAGATGACTCGGAATCAGGAAGAAAGGTTACAGATGACGATGAAGCTACACTCTGGCCCAAGCCCCAGCAAAGCTTCGACAATAGCAATCACCAAGTTTTGGTGACTGCGCCTGGAGTAGGTCCTGGTGTTGCTGGTTCACGTAGGAGCAACTCCCATTACCACAGAAACGGTAAAACTGATGGCATCGAGATTGTTTCAACGACGGAAGTTATGTACAGTCCTAGGTAGAATATCTTAGAGTTTCCTTTGGTCATAAATAGAGTCTTATCGAGCAACATCACTGAAAAGAAATGGCATGCAGACTGAGCGATCAATGACAGGCTATCACCCTTTGTTGTACCCAGAATATCTAAAGACCCTTCCAGAAGAAAGTCTTGGGCAAGGTAAAGTCTGCGCGCGCAATCTCATCCTTCGGATTTGAGCTGGAGGCAAGTATCATGGTGTACTTTCCAGCTTCAGCCTTCCACTTCGATGCCTCCTGGTCCCAGAATGATAAGGAATACTTATCAAGAGTAAGTTCAGCGGTCTTGGTCTCGTCGACGTCCACAGTGACCTTTGTAAATGCCTTCAACTCTCTGATCGGTCGTTGAAGAGAGCTGTCGGCGTGGTGAATGTATAGCTGAACAACTTCAGCGCCCGCAAAGGCGCCCTTGTTAGTGATGTCAACGGTGGTGCGCATCTGGTGGTCAGCCACTGGTGTAAACTCCTTTGGCACATTGAGATTCGAGTACTCGAACTTCGAGTATGACAGACCATGACCGAAGTAGAAGAGTGGCTCTCGATCGACCATCTCGTAGTATCGATGTCCGATAAAGACACCTTCACCATACACAATGTCGTAGTCCGCCTTGGAGAAGGTGAGGTACGCTGGCGTGTGCTTGACGGATTTGGGGAATGTTAGTGAAAGCCTTCCAGAGGGATTGACCTTGCCAAAAAGGACATCAGCCATGCCATGACCTGTCTCTTGGCCGCCAAACCAGGCGTGGAGAAGAGTCGCTGCTTGAGACACCCAAGGCATCTCAATGGGCAACCCTGATTGCGTAATGATAATCTGATACACGTCAGTCTAGGTATTTCGGCTAAACAAAGGTCAGCTTACAGCATCGGGGTTGGCCTCCAATACAGCCGATATCAATTCGTCCACGCGACCGGGAAGTCTGAGGTGCTTCCTGTCACTGCCCTCATACTCGAAGTCTGATGATAAGCCAGTGATGACGATGGGAACATCAACCTTCTTGGCGAGTTCCACGGCATCCTTGATTCCCTGGTCTTCGTCGTAGAGCTCAAAAATTCCAACACGACCCGCGAGCGTTTGTGCAGTACCAACACCGCCTGAGAGGCTCTCGTTAACTTGGAGTACCTCGAGGTTAAGTACTTGGCCCTTTTCGAACTCGCCCTCGTAGAACCTCTCCATAGACAGGCGGTTGAAGCAAGGTGTTGAGTCAGTTTTTGGAGGCTGGCTTGTCCACAAGTCGATAGCCTCCTTGCCGTCAATAAGGAGCTTTCCCTTTCCAGAAGTACTGAAGCCGAACTTGAGCTTCCCTGACTCGTGGATAGTGTACTTAGCTTTCGCTCTGGCGTAGAATTTGGTTGGGAGTGACGCGTGGTAGCTCTCTGGAACATCGACCAGCTGCTTCTCAGCTGTAGTAGAAACAAGGATCTTAGTATTAGGGTTCTCCTGCGGGTCCTCTCCGAAGATCTCGACAGACCAGCCCTCGGAATGGGAATCCGGGGGAGTGTGACCCTTGATGAGAGGACTAAATCGGAAGGCTATTTGCCGTGTTAGCATGCATAGAGTGTTGGTGGCATGGCGCGTGACGTACAATTGCAACCTGGGGTATATGTGATGTTCTCCTCTCCTACAACTTCTTTGATCGCCTCATATGGGGTGATGCCGTAGTAAGGCTCAACCTCGGCACTTCCACCACCACAAAGAGCAGGGTTCTTGACGTGATCTCCAATCAGTCCGAACTTCAGGTTCTTCGAGTTCTTGATCGGTAGTCTTTGCTTGTCGTTCTTCAGTAGCACTACCGACTCGGCTACAAGCTGTCGAATCAAGGCGCGTTGTTCTGGTGTATCCGATTGAGGAGGCTTTCCTGATTTCTCGCCTGCCTTGCACTTATTGACAAGGTTCAGGACGTTCTCGACGGCTGTATCGACTGTTGCTTCGGACACCTTTCGAGAGTTGACAGCAATGCTGAGGCGCTTTCCTCTCCAATCGGTTGGTCCAGGCATTTCGAGATCCAATCCGGCATTAATCGCCTCGGACGTGCTGTATGTGCCGAACCAGTCACTCATAACAAGTCCCTTGAACCCCCATTCTTCACGCAGGATCTCCTTCATCAGTAGAGGATCCTCACTTACATGAATCCCGTTAATCTTGTTGTAGGATGTCATGATCGTCCAGGGGTCTGATCCACGAAGGGCGAGCTGGAAGGGTAACATGTGAACTTCTCGGAGGGTACGCTCGGTCATAATCACGTTGTCCTCGATACTGTTGTCAGACTGATCGTGAGCTGCATAGTGCTTGACGCTTGTTGCGACGCCCTGTTCTTGAACGCCATTGATGTAATGGGCGCCCAAAGTTCCACTGAGAAAAGGGTCTTCGCCAAAGGCTTCAAAACCGCGTCCGATTAAAGGCGAGCGCTGTAGGCAGAGTGTCGGTGCTAGCAAGACATGAACGCCGCGAATCTTTGCTTCTTCGCCAAGAAGGCATCCGATCTTGTGGATGAGTTCAGTGTTGAAGGTAGCGCCCATTCCCGTTGCTGACGGTAGCATTGGACTCGGCATCTAGCGGACTGTTAGTTTATGCTACCCAGATATTGAGGGGTACTCACGCGAGTGAACGACCGCCGTCCTCGGATTCCATGGGGCCCATCCGAAGTCTAGCCTGTCAGCTTCATATTTATTCTCATTTTTGTCATCTCAGACTTACAATAAGAGCAGGAATTCCATGCTTCTCAAGACCCGTCATGCGAAACGAACCCTGACCCGCCAAAAGTTCCACCTTCTCATCCAGCGTCAAATTGCTCAACAGAGCTTCAACATCTACAAAATTTGCTTCGGCCATGTTGTCTGATGCTTTCAACAAAGAAATAATAATAATAGAAGAGATTCTTCGTGGAATTGGGACTAATGCTGAGTTTTGTTGAATGGCACTACTCAGCAGGATTTAGCCGTCGGCTATTCGGGCCGCTAAAATTACAGGTCCCCTCACGTTGGATTGAGGTATTTGGTTGTTGGAAACATCTTGGCAACACGATCGTCGGGGTGACTGTCAACCTTTATTCTGTTTGGTGGAGACTCCGCTCTTGAGTTAATAACCATGACAAAGTCTTTGTAATTGACACTAGTTGCATTGCAAAGCTGGGGTAACTGCATGCTGACAGCTGGGCCCATGTTTGGGAAGGGCGTGCTCAAACACCAAGTCGAAGGATTATGCACAATCCTGGAAATATTCTCTGTAGTATAGCTTACGCTGGCCTTTGCCCAATTGTGACCAAAGCCCGAAACATGGCACCCTTTTCCTTAACTTCCTTCTCAAACCTCTCAGCCAAATTCTCATACGTAACAGGTAGTTTGACACCAAGGGCTGTTGCTACCAGTCAAATTCTCGGAGACTTCAAAAGATAAAACTCACCCTTTGCGCCCTCAAGGAGGCTTGGGATGATAATCACGAAAGGCTGCCACGATAACTCGGCTGCTTCATCGTCACCCAGCAGCTTGCCCATAGGCAGATCTACCGAATGAACGGTCACGTTCTCGAACCCTGCAGCCTTGAATGCGCCAGGTAGTTTGCGAATGCAATCGGATCCCATGCCCATACCATCAAACATGGCTGCGATGAGGTTGCTCATATCTCTCCACGCTGGACCTACGTTGGGCCGATCTGTTAGGTCAAAGTCAAGCTCGTGGACCTGCAGCCAACCTCCAGGAGCAACCGTAGCTTTCTGAAGTCAGTAATGTGACCTAAATGGTGAACACAGTCTTGGTTACTTACAGACGAGATGTTCAATGGCTTCTTGATAGCCTACCTTGGCAGCTCCAAGGGTGCTGTACCTCATGTGTGTCAAGTCAAAGGCTCCGACAAGTTGTTCTCTGAGCGATCCACAAAGGTCGTAAACTTCAAAGCGAATGCCCCCTTCGGAATCAGGTAGAAAGGCCTCGACAATATCAACGCCAACGAGCTGAGCAGATGGAGGAACCTGCTTCTTCAGGTCTCGAAGCAAAACTCCTATTTTTCCTGTTAGTCCAGATAACGACACCTTCGACAGTCAGAGTAATACCATCGGCGCATCCGACGTCGAGAATCTTGAGTCCTTCTTTATCCAGTGGCATTGGTGCAAAGACAATCTTGTTGTCAAGGCATCTCTGAACCCAGGCATGCTGTTTCCGAAGTCGTTCTACATCTGGGCTTATTTCCCAAGGACAGTCAGCTTTGTTTCCGGAGCTCATTATGAAAGGGAGATCGAATAGTCTGTCTATGAGCGTAATAAACTAGACCATACTGAGCGCAGCAGCTTCTATGGAGATTGAGCCGAATTACAAGAGCCTTATATGCCCGTGGAAATGATCGTACTACAGAAATTCCCATAGGATCTCGCTCGCTTCTCACCTAGCCAAGTTTACCTAAATATCTCTCCGGACATCAAATAATGTCTCCGGGCTTCTGGAAAGGCTCCATGAAGCTTGAAATCGACGACCATCCGCTAGTGCTTATTGCTTGGTAACTCTCGTCAGCTGGAATTGACCAAGGTACCACCTGGGGCCTTTCGTTGATGACTTAATAGAGCTAGAGAATCTCTCTCTTCCATCCAGGACCTGGGATTTACCTTGATACGAACCTTGCACAAATAGGAGCCGATAATCGGCTGTTGGCAGTCAGTAAGTAGGCTCACGTAATTTCAGCGTGTCATTCGGGGTTTCTGGAGATTTCCGCTGGTGTTCAAGCTCGCAGCTGCTTACCCTCCTTCCCCTCTACGGGCCTGGTCCTGGAACTGAAATACATGCCTGGCACATAAACAACCAGGGTCTTTCCCGGCGGTTGACCTCTCCAGTCTGGGGCTGATCATATGGATGATATCTCACGTTGGAAGCTGGAAAGAGGTTCATTGACAGACATTTAGAACAAGGCCAGTGCTTTTAAGACAACACCATCAGGCAAAGTACTACCAGACCAAAGGATCGAATCTTCACACTTACTTGAATGCAAATCTCGACACGAATAATAGCAACGCAATACATGCTGTGGCAGTTTAGTTGACGAAACCCTTTTTTTTAAAGGCTATTGGGTTATAGTCGAACGTTAAATATATAGATTGAAGTGGTCATAGCCAAAAGGCAACTATAAGATACGTTGAAACCGCTATGTACACTTAAAACAGAACATGCCACACGCGTTTCCAAGCAGGGCCGTTGGCAAGCTGCTCGCGATAGGCGTTGATGGTATCCCAATCATGCTCGCGACGACCGGTGTCAAGATCGATTTCGCTGACCTTTCTCCAGCCCTCTCGCTTCCAGATGTATCCAATAACATAGAAGAGGATGACAACGGGCAGAGCCAGGTATGACTCGAAGAAGCCCTCGGCAGTACCGAGTGATCCATCAAGATTGGTGATGGCAGTGTAGAACTGCGCAATAAGAACGATGACGATGAGGATGAGTCCAAGCCAAGAGCCCCAGACTCCGAAGACGTGCTGGAAGGGGATCTCATCCAAAGTGTGACCATGGTACTTCCAAGCCTGTCGGAATCGGATGTGGCAAAGGCAGATAGAGCCCCAGGTGAACAAAGCAGCCAGACCGGACAAAGCCTGAAGCCAGACAAAGACTGTGTTTCCATCACCACTAACACTGATGTATCCAAGAGCACCGATGGCAATGATGGACACAACAGCAGGGAGAGGACGACCAGACTTGTCAATAAAAGAGAAGAATTTAGGAGCATAGCCCTGTTGCGCGAGTGCGACAAGAGTTCGGCTACCGCCGTAGACGCAGGAGACGCCGATAGACAAGACAGAAACGAGGATGATGACGTTCATGAAGGAATCGTATCCCTTGAGATGAGCGTTGGCGGCAGCGATGACGAACGGAGAGGCACTAGGGTCATCGTTGCCGGCGTTCAGAAGTCTGGGGTCCTTAGAGCTGACTAGGAAACCGACAAGCAGAAGGCCAACTACGTAAAAGAGAGTGATTCGCCAGAAGACCTGCTTGATGG